AAATTGCTGCTTTTAAATTAGAGATGCAACATACAAATATTTGGTATTTAGCCTATAGAATATTCATTTCGGACGAATAATGGAAGAAGCGTCTTCCGAAGACAAATCTTAATTCGTTTACATCAATGTTTCTTGTTTTCTGACCTGGGAAGGGTTTATTCGATTAACAAGACAATAATGAAGATAAACAAATTTGTGAAGGGTCCGATTAAAAGAAAAATCATTTTGTGAAGGGTCCGTTAACGGACCCAAATTTCTTCTAAATAGACCCCTGCCTATGTATGCGTGAATAAAAAAGTAAAATATTAGTGATTCCGTTTTCGCACTATAGCGTGTCTAATGTGCCAAAGATCGTAGATGGGACGCAAAAATAATGGGAAACAGTAAATCAAAGGCGTAAATCCGCGTACGTGAAGTATTACTCAAATGCTTGTTTTAAAGTAGCGTTTTAAGTTACAATAATAATGTAGGACATAAGGATTTAAGACATCCGATTGTGAGGAATGTGGTTGCAAGAAATTTTTATGTTTTTCGCAATTTGCGTTGTAACATCATGTCAAACCCGAGTTTAAAAATAAAGCAATTTTGTAACATAGATGTTCCAATTGCAATAAGAAAATTTATCCAACAAATGAAAGAAAAATGAGTAAATATATAAAATTTAAATTAAAAAAATTTTGATTCTGCAATTAATTTAACTTTTTAAATTTTTATCATGGATTTCTCTTAATTGAAATGTTTTTAACCTGTCTATTTTTTTATTATGTTTTTTATTACAATTATTATATATTTGAACTATCTGAACTGCATCATATATAAATTCTAACCGAATTTTTTTTTAGTTTGTTTGGAAAATTTAATATTTCAAACTAAATTTTAAGAACGTTCTAATTTGTTTAATTTCCTTAAAAACCCTTAAATTTAAATGTTGTTAGGAGTGGGAATCCAGTGGCTAAATGAAATTAGTATTAATAGTTAATGTAAAAACTTTATTTGGAATAAGTTTAGAAATCAAGATTGGAGGATCTTACTATGAAAAACAAAGTAAAAAGTTACTAATAAACATCTGCTTTTTACTGAGAATGCTTGATAAGACGATAATTTTACGATTCTAAAATAAGTTTTCCATCATACCGAGGACAAACTAAGAAAAAATTAAAACTTTTTAATCTTCTGATTACCTATCGGTATAAAAAAAAAATTTTTTTTTGAGTTATCAGTACTAAAAAATTTAAGGTTTTACCATGTTTTATGGTATGGCGTGGAAGACAAAAAATCTAATATCGTAAAATTATATATTTGATATGGAATTAAAGAATTATTTTGACAAATTAAAATTCAAACAAAATTTCTGCATTAATCAGGGATGAGATTCTTTCGCGGATTACCGCTTTTTCTCAGATTTTTTCCGCTAATTTCCGCTGAAAATTTTTTTTGCACAAGTTAAAATATTTTATGACGNTCTAATTTGTTTAATTTCCTTAAAAACCCTTAAATTTAAATGTTGTTAGGAGTGGGAATCCAGTGGCTAAATGAAATTAGTATTAATAGTTAATGTAAAAACTTTATTTGGAATAAGTTTAGAAATCAAGATTGGAGGATCTTACTATGAAAAACAAAGTAAAAAGTTACTAATAAACATCTGCTTTTTACTGAGAATGCTTGATAAGACGATAATTTTACGATTCTAAAATAAGTTTTCCATCATACCGAGGACAAACTAAGAAAATCTGATTACCTATCGGTATAAAAAAAAAAAATTGAGTTATCAGTACTAAAAAATTTAAGGTTTTACCATGTTTTATGGTATGGCGTGGAAGACAAAAATCTAATATCGTAAAATTATATATTTGATATGGAATTAAGGAATTATTTTGACAAATTAAAATTCAAACAAAATTTCTGCATTAAAAAATCAAGCCTACGTTTATATATCTATGATTCATAATATAAAACTAGCAAAACATATCTGACACTTTAAAAAAATTGGAAAAAAGTAGCTGAAGCAGGGTTGGTATATGTATTTTATATGCACGTGGATGTTTGCTTTTAATCATCTTGATTTAATATTTTAAAATATCATTTATTTAAAAAATATTTTATGATGAATATATTTAAATTTTTTTTTATTGATTTTTCATTGTTTTGTAAATATTAGTTTTTTTATTCAATTAGACAGTTCAGGGATCTGTTTAGAAGAAAGATGGATGTAAACGAATTAAGTTTGTCTTCGGCAGACGCTTCTTCCTTTATTCGTCCGAAATGAATATTCTCCGTTCAGCAGAATAGGCTAAATACCGAATATTTATATGTTGCATCGCTAATTTAGTAGCTGCAATTGCTGTTTATTTTTTTTTTAAATTTCTTTTATTATAAATGTACAGTGTTGAGCATAATCTTGTATGTCTTTACAATTTAAAAACTCTTTGAAAAGGTTTTTTTGCAATAACAGGACCCATATTTGCTCAAATTCACAACGTTTATTTTACAAATTACAATGTTATTGACTTAACGTTTATTTTATAATCACAAATTACGAGTAATTTTTTCACAATTTTACAAAAATGGACCTTTCACAAAATGTCTGGACATACCCCTGTAGTTTCAGGATTTCTTGATATCTATCAATCGATACTTATCATGATTATATAACGCAATTCTACGTAAACCACATTTGCTTTGTGAAGACAATTAAATTTTTCGGTAAAGAAATGTCTCTAACTAAGCGAGAACTTTTTACATTATTTGCTAAGAGGTTTAAATTTCAAACGCTAAACAAACCAAAATTGATTGATTTGTTATTACTAGTTCTAAAGCTGCAGAAAATTTATTTTATTTATTTATTTATTTTTTTTCCAAATAATAAATGCTTAAAAGCATATTTTGAGTTTTTAAGTATTTGTAACTAAAAATCATTTTAAGAGTAATCTATTCCAGACTAAGATTGCCATATTTAGTAGATAAGTTTAAAAACTAATTAAATGTAACACAAAAAACGCAAAGCCCCCTTAAGGAAAAAAACCTATGTTTGAAGAGGAGTTATTGATTGTTTACTAGAACATTGGACTATTAAGTTTGACCAAGTTGTGCAACGTGTATTAGAGACTTTAAAAAAAAAAAAAAGACTTTTTGCATAAATATAAATAAAATTTTTATGACATTTGAGATAAATCTTTTTTTTGCATTCATGTGAGTACAGAAAACATACATTAAATAAAAAGTTAGAAACTAAAAACAGGCAAAACGAAATTTTAAAGATATGTTTGATAGGAAAAACGGCACTTCATGAGGGGACTATATTTAATAACTGAGAATAGTCATTTTATTTTTTGATCTTGGATAAGAAATTTGTAAATGCATAAGGAAATTCACTTTAAATTATAGATGCTTCTTTAAATAAATATTTTTTATGTTCTAATATTTAAAACATGCCTGAAAATATTTATCTACAGTCAGGTTAACTTTTTCTCTAAAATATTTGTTATGTATCAAAATATTAGGTAGGTATCTAAATTTTTGGTACTTTTTTATATTTTAGAAAATACCATATTTAGGATCCCTGGCACTACATTAGTACTTGAAGTATAGCTATCTCCAGTACTTTTGAAATAGCATTTTAAAATTCATAATTCAGAATGCACTAAGTAAAGATCAAAGTAGAAAATAAATGCAATTTTTTTTTTTTAATTGGTATATATAGCTGTATAAATTTGTTAGATTAACTATGGGTTTTCCCACAAATATAGTTGAACGTGATAAATATTGTACCATTTATCACTTTTAAGAATGATCTAAGCAATTTATTTCAATATTATCATTGGCATTAAGTTTATCTGTACCTTAAGAAAATAATTTTCTTAGTATGACAGGAAATTAAATTTTATGTGTTTATCTAGTTTTTTTTTTTTTTTTGTTTCTTTTAGTAGTAGGTACTTAATGATACATTTTATTCCATTTTCATAAGATATGAATCTTGTATTGTGTCTGCATGCATTAGTTCGACAAATCTGTTGTCATCATTTCTTTTTAAAAATATTTCATATTGTTAAGTTAAGTTTAAAACATTTTAATTGTAAGCAAAAAATTTCTTTTGAGTTTTTTTTTTTCTTTTTTAAATATCAAAGCCAGATATAACATTGAAAAAAATCAATCATTTTGATTTTTTTAATCATGATTTTATGAACCTTGTTTATGTCTTAAGAATGTTTGGTCTCAATGTGCTAAATATTTCATGCATTATTACATTAGCTATAATATTAAATGTAAAAGTAAAAAGCCTAATCTGTTTGCATATTCTCATTATTTTTTAAGAATATTTGTTTTCACTGTTAAAAAAAAGAAAATTTAAAAGAGCAGAGAAGAAAAAAAAATTCTAATATCAAAAATATCGCGTCTTTGCTCATTTATTTTAAAAGGAAATTTTAAATTATTAGTTCTTATAAGAATATACCAAGGCTGTAATTTTTATATGACATGCGTGAAATACTAGTTAAAAATGTCAAAAGAAAAATTATATCATTCCGCATAGGAATTTTTTCATAGTATATTTAAGACTATTAATTAATATATGATATGTTTAGGTAACAATAAAAATAATATAAAGACCATAATATTATAACAAAAAAAAATTCATTTTATGTTGCTTTATATGGACACTCATCCTATTAAAAGTTTTCGTATTATTGATATGGAAAATATTGCGTTTTGTTATTCATTCATTATTTGCATGACGGCCTGAGATAGGTGGGCCCTGGCCTTCTCCCTGGCCTTTCTTCTTCCACCTAAAAGTTGTCTAAAGAGAAGATAGTTTAAAAAAAACATTAATTTTAAATGAATTAAAATGAAACTTTTTTTTTATTTGACTTAAACATGTGTGAACTCAGACCGACCCTACCTAGCCTTATAGAATTAAAATCTGCATTATTAAGTACTTACTTTTAATAGTAATTTTTTATTTTGCCTTGTTCTATTTTAAATTGTGTATTTTTCTCTCTTTTTAGGCATGTAAAAAATAACTTCTATTCGCTGTTCCAGTTCACTAACTGGAACCCCTGAGTGAATGGGTTAGATATAATTGCATGCGTTGTGGCTGGCAGAAAGCAAAGCTTGAATGAGCAGGATAGGAATGCAAGATTCTGATGGCGAAGGGCAATCCAGAAATGGTACTGCCATTCAGAATCACTCGCCATACGGTTTTGAAAATTTTGATGTCTCTAATGGGCAACTACGAAGAAGGGCCAGGAGAAGCCAGCTACAAAGGAATGAAGATGGCATAGAAAAACCTGAAACAACCAAGACATTCATTTGTCTTCATCAAGGTTGTACTAGGGTTTTTTCTTCCAGGTTTAAATTGGTTAGGCATCTACACATTCACTCAGGGGACAGACCATTTCAATGCAACAATTGTGGTCGTCGTTTCCACAGGAAGGACCACTTGAAGAATCATCTGCAGGTGCATAATCCTAACAAAATTCAACACAGCTGCAACTTCTGCCAAAAATCCTACTGTTCTCTGCTTTCATACCGCAAACACCTTGCACTCCATGCTGCTGAATCTGGTGACTTAGAATGTAAGCTATGTGGGAAAGCTTTGGAGGATCGCGAAGGCATATTACACCACCTAAAAGTGCACACCGGGTCTAGAACTTTGCGAGGGCCATCTGAAAGAAAGTATCCTTGTGACCGTTGTGATAGATCCTTCTTCACAAAAAAAGATGTAAAGCGCCATCTAGTTGTGCATACTGGAAAGCGAGATTTCGTCTGTCAGTATTGTCCTCAACGATTTGGTCGCAAGGATCACTTAGTCCGTCATACTAAAAAGAGTCATGTTGGTACTGCTAATTCCAGTCCACCTGGCAACGAAGCAATGCGAAAGTATGAACCACCGGCACACATGCCGCCTCCAGAAAACCATAAAAATAATAATTCTATGATGGGACCTCCTTCTATGCCTGATATATCTGGACTTGTGATATCACCAACCACCGTTTCCCCATTGATAGAACATACTGTTCTGGAGCCTGTGAAACCAGATCCTACGTATGGAGTGCCTTCCTCTAACTTAGTACAGTCGAACTATGGTTTAACTCCCTTAACTGCTGAGAATGGGCAGCATATGGGAAGATTTCCAGATCCTGCACTGCTCCCTGTATCTCAGTATCTTCCTATGTCTCCCTCGTATCCTGGTGTCTCACCAATTATGTCACACCCCTATCTTAACATGTCCTCCTCGGGCAATATTCTCTCTGATCTCCTACCTCCTATGTCGATGGCACCATCTTTCTCAGCTTCTCTGTCTCTGGATGTGAGCAATCCTCCACTTCCTCACTTCAGTCAAGCGTTTCAGTGAGCTCCTCACTTCAGTCAAGCATTTCAGTGAGCTCTCTCACTTGTTCTAAGACAGGGGTTCTCAACTTGGGAGCTGCATCTTTGGAGGAATATGCGAAATTTCAGCATGAATCTTAATTTAAATGTGGCTCATTCTTGCAGTAAAATTTGATCAATTTATTATTAAGTTATTTAGTTAGAGATTAGATTTTAACTTTGAAGCTGAAGTATTTTTCCCGGTAAACTGCTAAATTTTTCAAATTATTCCTGACTTAATCAGAAACCAGAATTCTTCTAGCTATTATTCACATATATATATATTGATAGATTGATTGTCAATAAAAAATTTTAAGCCATCCTTAAACATGTGTCACAAGTGTCTAAAATGTATTGAATGCTTTTTTCCATTCAACTTTATAAATTAACTAGTTTTACAATACACATTAAAGTAGTCTTATTTTATCATCTGGATTTAAAAAAAGAAAAACTAAAGAAAATATATGCACGATTTCGTTAAGTCTGTTCAAATTTAGAAGGGGAAAAAATTACATATTGAATGATATTCTCTAAGCTTTAGATAATCATTTACTTTTATTTTGATTCATTGCAAAAAAAGAAGAAATTAAAACATCAAAATAACAGGATCTCATCTCCAAGGATTACAGCAAATAAAAAAGTTGAGAATTCTTGCTCTAAGATCTAACATGGTATTTTTAATGGTGCTTTACTATGTAAGAAATCTATATTTATTGATATATTCGATATTTTTGGATACTAATGTTTATTTCAATTCAAGGGTTTTACAAGTGCCTATGCTTATAGATAAAGAGTTATTTTGAAAGAATATTTATAATTTTTAAGTATGAATATAGATGTTAGTTGATATGAAATAATTTTTTACAGTATTAAATGCTATCAGATAATATATTGTTTATATACAAGAGTTCTTTATCATTGTTTTGTCTTAAATAATTTTAATGTGCATTGTCCATTTAGTTATTAAAGAAAGTCTTATTAAGCAAGAGTTAATACTGAAAAACGTTTATAGGTATTTATTTTATGTTTTTATCAATATTGCCAAATAGTACCTGATAAACCTGTGATAAATATAAGCTCAATTAGTCATACCTCACTCTATTTTTTCAAAGCTTCATAACAGTCATATATTTGCGAAATAATTAAATGTAATTTCATTGAGAGATTAACAATGTTGAGCTTAGTTTAAAACTCAATACTGTAAGAATGTTGCGAGCATTTGCATTAAAACGTTATCCATCAAGACCAAGTGCCAAGTATTTTTTAAGCTTCTACTACAGCCACTCTAATTAATGGTAGTCATTTATAGTCAGAACCATTTCATTATCATATTTTTTTTAATCAAACGTTTGTTTTTGTCTTACTAGTTACTAGCACTTTCTGTAACATCTAATCTTTTATTAATTAAAAAGAAATAATTCTTTTAATTTAAAAAAAACTTTAAATTTATTAGAATGAAATAATTAAAATGTAAGAAAAACAACTTATATCAAATTTTTATTGTTTAATAATAGTTCATTATATGACTCAGAGAACCCTAAAATGAAATGCAAATTTCAAGGCGTAAGTTTCATAATTTTTTTAATTTTTAACTTACAATTAAATGAATTTAATGTAGAATTGTTTTTAAAAAAATTTGAAAGACTTAAAACTTTGATATGTATTTACATTAGTGTTTGTAATAAATTTTAAATGAACAACTAACAAATCTTAATAAGTGTACAATACTTTTTTTACCCACCAATGAATTAAGAATCCTAAAAAAAAAATTTTAAATTTTTTTTTATTTAAGACAGCTAGTATTTAGTAGTTAATTTTTTGAAATGCAATTTAACAACTGATGATTACGTACTCAGTGTATTTAATAAGTGTTATTAATATTATGTTAGAACTCTTTCTAATTATTTAGGGTATTATTTTTTATGTTGGTAGTTCCCACTTTTGATTTTTATCGCCACATGTGTTCATTTTGGTTTGAGGAGTGGTTATTATTTTTTTTTTATCTACATTTACTTAATTTTATGTATCTGTCACAATAATGTTCACTTAATTACTGGCTGCTGAAGGGGAGATTATTGAAAGCAATTAAAAGAGATTATTGAATGTAGTTGTGAATTTTAATCACAAGTGATGATGATGATGAGTGATGTGTATATTACGTAATATAAAGTGGCCTTAAAAATGCCTGAGTGTTGCCTTAAAGACTATTTACAAGGCTGAGATGATAAACTTTTTTTCTCTGATGATTCCAGCTGGATGTATTGTATAGATTGTTAAATTGCTTAGATTAGAATTTTGCAGCAGCTAGTATGGCCTATTTCTATGTTGTGCACAAGGGTTTTTCTAAAAGACAGACTAGCTTACTTATAATTGAAGTTTGATTTAAATTTGAGATTTTTATTGATGCAAAGATAGATTTTACGAAAATTATCTGGCATAGTTGCCAACTCCTATTGGTCTATACGAAATATATTATATATTGGTTATACGAAAACCCTTTAATTTCGTCCTATTTCAAAAAGTGTGCGAGTACCAATTTTGGTTAAATATTTAAAAATGCCTTAGAGATAAAAAGAAATTTTTGTAATGTTAAGTTTTCTTAACGGTATGATTGCTAAAATTGCCAATTTTGGTCAAATATTAAGGAATTCCTTAGAAATACGAAGAATCTTTTGTATTGTTAAGTTTAGGGTGTAATTGGTAAAAGTTTCATTTTTAAATGTTATCAATTATTACCTTGAAAAATATGGATTCATGGCTTAAGTATGTAAAAATGATGTTAATTGATGAAATGAAATTTAAACTATAGCATTGTTATTAGTTAAGCTAGTCTGTCTGTTTTCATATTTTTAGTATCTATTAATTCTTAGATGTTTATACGAATTATAGCTATTCTTTAAATTGTTTTGTATATGGATGTTATATATATTTAAAATATTCATGAAATTTTTATATTTGTAAATTTGCAATGCAATTCAAGATGATACAGTTGCACTTTGGTAGGGGGCAATTAGAAACATTTTGTCTTTAAAGAAATAACTTTTAATTGAATAATTTTATATGCTAAGCATTAAAGACATGCATACATTCTCCTTAATTGTGAAGTTTGGTTTTAAATTCAGCCTGATCCATTCCCCCCCCCCTCTTTTTTTTATGCTTTTCATCTTTTTGGAGGCATTTCAAAACTGGAAATGAAAGCAACTCATGTTTCTGTATATATGTTTACATATTTATTTATTTTTTAGAATAATTAACAGTTTCTTCCTTTTATTTTTCTATCAAATTAAAGTTGGGGCACATTAAAACATGCTGCATAGATTTAGGTGAACCTAAAATAAAATTCTGACTATTTTAAACTTCAGTTTTCAAGATTAAGTGGGATAAGATTACTTGATTCTGATAATTGGTATGAAAAAATTAATTATCAGAGGAAAAGGCAATAATAATAGTAATTTAATAAAATGCAGTTTATCTTTAATCAGTACACTGGAGGTTTTCAGATTTCAAGAGCCCAGCTTAAATGTTATGATTTTAATTTCTATGAATAGGAATGTGGTTCATTGACATTGAATGTCATGGTTTGGTTATTGCATAGATCTATGAAATAGGGGGGAAAAGTTTTTAAATTAAAATTTGCATAATTTTTAATAATTTCTTCTTTTTTTTTTTCAAATATCTTAGCTCAGAGTTAGGCTCTGGAATATGTCCAACTGCTTTAAAAAATAAATGATAACTTTTTTCTGAAAAATGGATCAGGTTGAACTTTAGAGAATCATTTACCTGTGTGCATATTCTTTGGTAGCAGCATTAAATTCACTTCTTAAAAATGTTTTTTATTTGTAAAGTGACAGTTATATATACTCTTTTTATTCTACTGTTTTCTGTAAATGAAATTCGTCTGGTAGTTTAAATATATGAATTTCTTATTTGTGAAAATATTTTATAATGTTTGTAGATTTGTTATGCATGAAGCCCTTTTTCTATCATTTATCCTATTTCAGTATTCATTCCTATTTATTCGGGGACCACTTCCCTTTTCTCGTTGTAGAAGAATCTTTTTTTTTTTTATGCATCTCGCATTAACTTGTAATTTCTACCTCATTTATTAAGTAGTTTTTATCATTTAGACAGGTATGGTATTCTTTTTTTGTTAATTTCTTGTCTATGTGAAATGTATACATGTGCATGTATTCAATTGATCTAAGAGAATGTTCCTTAACTGAGTATTCAGTGTATTTGTGTTCCTTTTTGTTTCTGTTGGGTGTTATATACTTTCAAATAGATCAAAGCTCTAATCTCGGGTTTCAGATAATCTGTTCTCCTTAGATTAATTCACTCCTTTTAGTTTTTTTTTTCCAACAGACATTCCACTTTCCAAATTGTGTGTATACTTCAGAGTTTTAAAGTAATTGTTATTTGAAAATGGAATTAATTAAAATTGAATTATGTTTTAATTGGAAATAATTGTTTACTAAATACTTTTTAATTAGTATATTTTAACCAAGGAAAATAATTTATTTTTATCTTAACTAAAGAGTTCAGGGTAATTCTAACTAGTACAGGCTTTCTCTCTCTCTCTCTCTCTCTCTCTCTCTTTTTTTTTTTTTTTTTTTTTTTTTTTTTTTTTTTAAGCCTTAATCAGCATGTGTTTTCTCAAATACATTAGACTTTTAGAACGAAAAAAATTTATTTGCTAGATTATTCATCAACTTTTAATGTTTATAGCATTTAAATTTTTCTTCGTTACTATTTTTTTATTTGCCAGTGTTTATATTTTAAACTAATTAATTTAAAAACTTTCTCGTATGGTTATTCTCTTTTTCCTTGGCTCTTTAACTGTGAAGGTTATTTCTAAAACCTTATTTGTTTCAATATTGCTTGGAAACAGTTTATAAAGGTGAGGATATTTTATGAATGTTTGTTTTTCTTAGTAATTAATGTTTTTAAATGTTCTTTATGTCATAAAATACAAAATAGTTCCTCAGCAAGTTATTTTGTGCCTTGGGGCACCAGATGGTCTATGGTTTGTTTTAGTGAAGAATATCATTTGAAGCAGCATGTATCCTTCCTCTGTTATCATATTTGCCTCGAAACTTATATCAATTGAACCAGCTAATGTTAATTAGAAAGAAATGAATGGGTAGTTAAGTTTCTAGACAATTAAAAAAATAGTTATATTGTCTCATTCTTTTGATAACCAGTGGGAAGGTAGTGACAAGAATGTGCCTTAAGTTGTGTGCTTAGAATTGACCTATGTTCCTTTAGATGAAGTGCCAATACCATTTTCATCTCTAACCAGTTGAAAGAATTCATTCAATTTTGAATATTTTTGTGTAGTTGAACATCATGATTTTCTTAAGAGGATGCCAAAAGTATTTCACGTAAAATTTGATCGCACAACGACTTTTTGGGGTTTTCACTTTCATCTCCACAAAAGATTTTGCTTCTGTAAAAAATATTAGGGTTGATAGATAAACTGACATTAGACAGGGTGCGTAGCGTTTTTTAAAAGTGCTTATTTTTGATTTGCGTTTTTTAAAAGCCCTTGAAGGAGCTTTTTTTATTCGGGTTAAGAGTTTGAAGAGCATAATTTTCTATCTTAAAAAGAGATTTTTTTTTATTTGCCCTATTGATTGTCGTTCTAAATTACAAAAAATGCATGCTTTTCACAATTTTCTCTGCAATATTTATTAGAAACTAGTTATTTTATCACAATTATGTAAAGTTTTTGAATTTTATTGATTTTATGTTTATAAATTAAGAATTTTAAACGATAAAAAAATAATTTGTATTGCTGCACAGATCTTAATAATTTTTTTTTTTTTTTGAAAGTGATTAAAAATATTTTTTAAGTGCTTAAGTACTTTAAATGTGCTTATTTTTTGTTGATAAATCTGGCTACGCCCCCTGTTAGGGTATTGTTATTTGTTTTGAGTTTCAAATAGTTTTCAAAAATTCATTTTTAAAATTTTTTTTAAATGCATATTAAATAAAATAAGTTTTTGTTAAAATACTATTAAATCATTGCTTAGATTGTATTGTTAATTCATATGAATATTTGATCCAATGAAATTTGCATTTAACCATATAAAATATTAACATCTTTTTTTTTATTAAAAAAGCCTCACATTTTATGATGTAAATTATTTTTAACTTAATTCACAATGCATTTCTTTTATACTTAAAGTTTAGAAGTTATTTACAATTCAACCTAATAAATGCTTTATAACTTAAAAAATTATCTAGCTCAAACCATTCTTAGTTGCAATAACTTGATTAACTGGTAAAGTTGTCTTTGATTCTTTTTAGAACTAAGTGAAAACCTAAGAGATTGAAAGATGTTGCTATCTAAAATGCATATGTGCATCAAATTTGTGAATACTTCGGGTAACTTACTTGGTAAAAAATTGTAACTGTACATGAATGTGAAATTTAACTGAAAACATGTGTATTGGTTATAAAACTTAGGATGTATTGTATTCCTATTTGTGTTTATTTCCAACAATGATGAGATTAATTTTTCCCCTGTGTGAAAAAAAAAAAGAATTTCTTGTTGTCCTTTTGTAGCATTGCAGAAAGCATTGCGATATTTTTTGTATTATAATTATTCGAGTTCAATTTATGTTGACTCATTATTCCCAAGTGCCTCAATTGCTTCAAACACAAGCAGTGCGAATTAACCAACCTGTGTTTTACCCAGGGGTAGCCAACTTTAAGTACTAGGAGCAATACTTAATCTTGAATGTGCAGTTTCAAAAATTCTGTATCTCAGTTTAAAATTAAAATAGAAAATGCTATAAACAATTTATTTTAATATCCCTCGGCAGTAAAAATTATAATTCAAAATATCATACAACAAAAAAAATATTATTACTTGGATAACTAATGATTAGCAGAAAAATTTCTTTTCAAAAGAATTCTTAACATGTGTGCCTATCAGAAATTTCAAAATTTTATCCATTTCAGTTTTTCACAATGCTTTCAAACTACATTAATTTTGCCAAGCTTTAAAATAAATGGATTTGGCTACATACCCTTACACTTTTGCCACTTACGGCTTGCAATATTGGCTATCCCTGATATCTATGTTGACCTCTTGCTGCTCTTAAGTTGCTGTCCTACTAAACAAAGGGAATTTTCGTACACATTTGTCCAATTTTCTCAACCCACATACTAAGTTGTATTCATCAAATACTATGTATGCAAGTATCTATCTTCAGTGTTTCCACAAAGCTGGTAATGCAGCGTTTACCAAGTGGGGTGTGGTTTTGCTAAAATTTTCAAAATAAATTGGTTTTTTTAATATTCTTATGAGCAAGTCGTGCTAAGTGTGTTGGTTATTTTTGCATTCATCTTTCTATGGGAAATTATAGTTGCCAAATAAAAATTTGCGTTCTAAATCAATTTTTACTTGATCTTTAAACTCAAAGTAAAATTTTGTTCGAAAGGTAATCTTGGCTGTAAAGTTTGTTTTTTTTTTCTGGAGGGGGGTAATTATGCTTAATCATGCTCTTAAAATTTTAAATTTACTTAATCTTTTTCTCGTAAGGTGTTTAACCATTAGTTTTCTACTTTAAATTTTTTTAAAGCTAAGTTTTAAAATTGCAGGTAAAAGGGAATAACTGTATTTTTAAGAATTTACCACTGGTAAGCGCTGCTCTTGTGAATGAGTTATTTTAACTCAAAGTATGCTAACAGCTTGTTTTCTGGTCAACATTGACTCGAAACTTCTGGGATAGATGCAAAATTTTTATTTTTGTAAGCATGATCAAAATGCTTAACTTTTTGGTTGTAGCTCAAAAATGTTTTTTTTTTTTTTTTTTAAGATTTCTCAAAACCAATTCTAGAATCGAATCTTTAAATTTTATATTTTGTAAAATTGGCATATTTTGTGTTGAGTAAAATTGGTGATAATGCATGAAGATTATTTTTGTAGATAAAATATTTGAATATAAAATTGATGATGAATTAATTAACCGGTGTTTAGGATGGTAAATCAAACCACTATGTTTGGTTTCAGTCCTTGAAATCTTTATTTTAAGAAAATTGTCTTGCGTATATGAAATAGCAAGCTTATCTTTGAATCTTGATTTCCCCTACTTGCAAATAAATAACTTGATGCCTTTACACTGGCTTCCAACTTGCGATTAACAAAGACTCGCAAATTCTCATGCCTTCTGATTTTTCCCTCAAAAAAAATTCAAAATCCATACATAGAAAAAATAACTACTCATTGAGGAATTACATATAAAAAATACCGTTCGTTTATATATATATATATATATATACATACAAGAAAACACTAAGAAAGTTAAGAAAAACAATAAGTATCATTTATTGCGCTTAAGCTGCAAGTAAACAGCACTCATTAGATAAGTTCAAAATGAAGAATAAAAACAAAGAAAAATTATAGACATATGAAAAAAAGGGGGTGGGAAATAATAAGTAAAAAAAAAAACATTTAATTTAAAAAAAAAAATGAAATGTAATATATATAATTAATCAGTTAAAATCAGTGTTAAAAATTTTGCAGAACTTATCTTTACTAACCTTTCAAGTTGTCTGCTAAATTCTTTAAAATACAGTGCAAGAAAATGAAAATTAGTTGTACTGTCATGTTATTTTGATATGTCGACTAATCTGAATTTAAGCTTAATAAGTTAATTGAAATCATTTTTAAAAAAGTAAAATAATTCTGAAATTGAAAAAAAAAAAGTTTCTAAAAATCCCAATAAGTATTATAAGGAAATATTGACGATCTCCACAGAGCAACTAAATATAACTAGTGGCGATGAAAAATTGTTTGCCTGTCGTCACCTGCCTACTACTTTTTTTTTTTTTTGGTCCAAAATGCAACCTGTTTGCATTTTATTAATATTATTTTAATAAACAAATAATTATTAGGAATTGTATTTTATAATTTACTAAAAGTAACTTTATCTCTCCCTTGTTTTTTTAAATTTTTCTTTCTGGATAATGATCTGATAATATATTTCGAGAAATGCTTGTAAAGAAACGTCTTACATTATTAATATATAGTTTTCTGATTCGTTAAAAATTTTGTATTAAGTGGCCACTATTGAAAATGCAATAACTGGCTAACAGCTGAATTCCCTAACTTTGTCCTATATGTAATTAAATCCAGTTTCTTTTATTTACA